GCGATAACCCCTCTTTCAGTTCGTGTGGTCTTCTCTTCTCTATCCCTTTAGTTGGGCATCAACTAAAGCGTTTCACATCCTCCTCCCCCCAAAAAAACGTTCTCGACTCCAAGTTGGCTCGGAGCCGCTCGGCGTGCTTACGAATACCATCTGGCATGCCGTAGGCCCGTCGGGCCGGAACAAGGTACAGTAACTTAGACCCGTTTGCTTTGCCCCGATGCATTGGATTCGACAATGACGGCACACTGGCAGGACTACGTGTATAACCTCGCTGCCGCTCTGCGGGTGCTTGCACCAGAAGCAGACGACTCGCATCTCTTTGCTCTCGAGGTGCGTTAATTCGCACGTTTTGCCTTTCTTTTGGCACCTCTGCGAGCTTAATAGGCTTTAAAGTGAATAACAAGACATGCTGAATTATTTCTTTCCCGCAGACACGACTGCGCGAGTTGGATCGTGCATCGGCATCGACAGAAGATTTCGAGGCCTAGAAGGTAATCTTTACGAACATACAAACCGAGACACAGAATAAATATACTACGACGATTTGAGTTACGACTGCGGTCACAGGTGCAAAGCCTTCGTATGCTCTGCCCCGCTCCCTGCATGTTATGAGCGTGGTGATCCAAGCCGGATACCTCCATATCCAATCCCTCTTGTGGCGAGGTCACCAGCTTCCAAAAGCCCAGGCGACACTCCCAGCAGTGGCGTACGCTCACCGGAGTTCGGATTTGCCGGTTCGATTCTACGCTCTCTCTCAACGATGCTACAATATATCCATCGATCAGTATCTGTTTGTAAGAAAGGGAAAGGACGCACCCCCGCATGACAGCGGCCGTGGTCATCCGCTTAGCTCGCCGCTTGGACTGGTTATCCTCGTATTGATCTGTCTCGTCAACGATTTCTTCGGAAATGATCTCCTCTATGATATCTGTACATGTGTCCATCATTCTTTCCAGGAGCTTTCATTAACGTTCCAGCTATGACGAACCTTCAAGGGTTATGACCCCGATCGCACCACCAGCGATACCGGGTGTGGTGCTGATGAGCAAAAGGTGCGCACGACCGGTCTGACTAAAATTAAGTTCAATACGCGGGCCCAGATTATCGTGAATCGGACAGGAAGCATGCGCACAAGTAGTCTAGAGCCTGAAAACAGTTAATTGTTGGCCTTGCCTCTGGCAAAATGAAAGGAGGAATTTGGACACAGGCCAGCATTGCGATGGATCATAAGTGAGCAACTGTCAACAACGTTGTTAATGCACGGGCCAATAGCAAAAATCGCTCTGGAACGTGGCCCAACCTTCTTTACTAATAGCAAGCCGGAGAAGGCGAACGGATTTCCTGGTTCGTGAACTGGGAAGCGAGAGTATCCGCTCAGCAGTCTATCCCGGCAATTAGCAAATCATTATAAGTGTTTGGAGTAAGACGCACATGAATTCGATCGCTTTCGCATCCAAGATGGCGTCAGAACTAAGGGTGACAACGTCCTACGCACACCGACAGGTGGCTTTTAAACTGCCACCCCATACCAGTGAACTCAAGCCTACCTTCATAGGGGTCATGATAGATTCAACCTTCTTTGAATTGAGTTCCAGTACGCCATTCAAAATGCTTATCTCGTCATCGCGCAGCGGTTCTTCGCCTGTGCGGTGGAACTGTAGAAAAGACTTGAGCTCAGCTTTCTTGTATGTGTGGACGTCATTTTTGCCGAGGACGCGGTCGAGGATTTTAGCTATTGGCCATGCAATTGGCGCTAGAAGTGTATACCCGCGATCAATTTCATGTGAAGGATGATAGAATCGAAACGTTTTACCAAAAAGATACATTGTTGTAAGAACAATTGGAGTGCAACGGGCGCCAATGGCTAGACCATAACGTACGCTGACGGCTTGCGGGATGATTCTATTAGGACCTTCAGCTCTTGCCAGCAAGGGTCAAGACCAAGAAGGTACGTACTCTCTGTATTACGAGGGTGCACCACCGACTTGGTAAGATACCATTCAAGGGACCCAGAGAGTGAAGAGCAGCATACCCAAAAATAACTGTACTATCGATCAACAAGTGGGCGCTGGATAAGGAAAAGAGATAGTACCAATCGCTGTAGTGGAGATGACAATGGCGGCGACCCCTCCGCCGATCTACATGGTTTAGAGCGTAATAGCAACGGAGTGTGCACCATATGCTCACGGCGCTATCCAGAAAGATGGGCAAGCTCTCGTTTACGATCTACATTCCTCGTAAGTAGAGACCGGATGATATCATTTTGTATGATACGCACGACGTTTCCAAGGAGCAAGACCTGTTATTGTCCGCATGTCAGAAAAACAAGAGCGCAGTGGAGCATTGATTGCTCACCACGAGTACCCAGTGGCGGCCCTTGCTGAGCAGTCTCAACACTAGGGATAGGAGATCAAAGATTTAGATTTGCCCAATTACCCCAAGCCCAACGCAGCTGGGGTATGAAGCGTACCTCGTGCGGCGTTTTTTCTCTCCGTCTCGTCATCGGATGACGTAGACAACACTCGGAGATGCAGCTCATCGAGGCCCATGAGCCCGAGGGTTAACCTGTCGCGCGGAGATGGCGCATTCATCAGCATACACTTATTTTCCGCCACACGTAAAATTGGACTGACCCTGAAAAAACACCTCCCAGAAGTACCAAGAAGATACTGATAATCATCTTGGCCCAAAACTCAGGGGAACCAAGTTCTTCGCCTACGCTGGGTGCCATGGCATTAGGAGACATACTCGTAGAGAAGGGAGAGGAGTGGAATGATGGTAGAATCGTCGTGAGAAGCATGGGAGTTGTGGTCAAGGGTGATATTTTAAATGGCTCAAAGGGCGCTAGGGCGCAGGCCAAGGGGCCAAGGATTGTGACTTAAACGCTCACGAGGAGTATCGCCACGTGATGCGCGCAGTCTCTCTCCGCAATGGTTTATTTTTGATCCGCTCGATAATGCAATCAAACGTCAGGCCCACGTCGCCTCACAGCATCTCTTCATCGCCGGACAAACGACCTCGTTCGATAACCCCGGAGGTTGCTCTGCGGGCGGTGACGACAAGATCGACTGCACCCAAACGGAGAAAGAAGCGGAAGCATACTCCACCAGAGCCTGGGTCCTCAGAAGATGTCATCTCCAGGGAGGTGGTCAGGCTTCTGGGGAGCGAACTCGTATCGAGGGCAGAGGCCGATGGTGTGGATTGGGAGTCGCCCTTCGGCTTTAGAGAGGAAGTTGAGCTCACCGTGTCGAGCATCTCGTCTAGTGGTACGTGTCTCAAGGTCTATGCAGACTCCTACTCGTTGTCTTAGTCGTGTTTTCTGTCCACTTCTTCCCCTTTTGTGCCTGTATGACTTCTGACGAAGAATTACATTAACAGGCGAAGGACTTGCCCTTGCCCCGTCATCGAAACGTCCATGGGTCGTTGTTGTTCCGTTCGTTTTGCCTGGAGAGGTCATTCGCGCTCGCGTATACAGGCACGCAAGGATGTACTCTTTCGCCGATCTAATCAGTATCGAAGTTCCAAACTCGGAACTGCGCGACATGGATCGTGTGCGGTGCAAGTACTTTGGAACATGCGCGGATGCCAATACCAGGTAGGTCCTTCTCAGTATCCACACGGAGCTCATCGCGCTTACCGTTCATGCATAGATGCTATCTTACGAGACGCAGCTTGGCCTCAAGCGCAACGTGGTAGTGAATGCTTACCAGAACTACTCCAGTTCGCCGCCTTTTCTTTCCTCCCCTGCTCGAATGATGATGACATAGTCAGACATCCCCGATTCATCGATTCCCGTCATACAATCGACAATCCTTCCCCTCTCCAGTATGGCTATCGCACCAAAATCACGCCACATTTTGAACCTCCACCCAAAAAGTTGCAAAAGGAAGCACCAAACCCGATGAGGAGGAAAAGCCGTCTTGGTTGAAGATTGGTTTCAACCAAATCGGCAAGCGAGTCGTGATGGACATAGAGGTATGATCACATTCATCACAACTGTAGTCCAATTATGGACCTTGTGATTTACAGGAATGCCCCATCGCAACTCCGGTTCTGAATGAGGCTTATGGGCCAATGCGAGACGAAATCGCAAAGTATGTATCCTTGACTACACTTCTCCTCTTTTGCTGAATCTTCTCTGGGCAGAAAAATATACAGTTACAAAAAAGGTGTATCTCTCTTGCTCCGCGACTCCCTCGAGATTCCAGGTGGCAACTCTCCTATTGCCACACCGAGCTTGCGCCCAAGACCATAACGTCTGCATCACAGATCACAAGGCGACCGTCCGCGAACGAGTCGGGGACTTGCTTTTTGACTACCAAGCTGGCTCTTTCTTCCAAAATAACAACTCTGTCCTCGTCCCACTCACCTCATACGTCCGCGACGCCATCTTTCCACCCACTGCCTCCGCGTCAAGTACCCTGCCCCCGACACACCTCGTAGACGCATACTGCGGCGCGGGCCTCTTCGCCTCACACTCGCGCCGCACTTCACACAAGTCGCCGGCATCGAGCTCTCCGCGGACTCGATCCGTTTTGCAACCCACAATGCCGCACTCAACGGCCTCGCGCACAAAGTCTCCTTCCGCGCGGGCGACGCAGCTCAAATCTTTAGCGCCGTCGCTGACTTTCCTCCCGCTCGCACCGCGCTCGTCGTGGATCCGCCACGAAAGGGGTGCGATGAGGCATTCATACGACAGCTGCTTGGGTTTCGAGCGCAGACCGTCGTGTACGTGAGTTGTAACGTGCACACGCAGGCGAGGGACATTGGACAGATAGTCTCTTGGTCTGCTGACGAGGTGGCGGGGGGAAAGGGGAAGTACGTGCTGGAAAGTTTGAGAGGCTTTGATTTGTTTCCGCAAACGGCGCACGTGGAGTCCGTCGCTGTCTTGAGGCTCGTGTTGTAGTCACAACGCTTGATTGTTGAAGCAACGTTGAAGTCTTGGTCAACACGCTCGCGCTTTTGCTGCTCGAATTAGACTCAGGCCGGAGAGTCGTCAGTCGGATATGGTGTAACGGCTAACATTACCGCCTCTCAAGGACTTCAGTCCTGGACGCGGTAGCTCGGGGTTCGATTCCCCGTATCCGAATTACTTTTTCTCCTTCGTCTCATTTTGCTTCTCTCTCAATGTAACACACAAATATGTATTTTAAGCGTTGATAAACTATGTGCAGGCTTTATGGGGCCTGTGTATTTAACTTTTCAATCGGATATGGTGTAACGGCTAACATTACCGCCTCTCAAGGAGTTCACTCCTGGACGCGGTAGCTCGGGGTTCGATTCCCCGTATCCGAATCAGTTTTTCTCCCCCAGTTCTATACAGTCGTACGTGCAATCTGCTGGTCATTAACCGTTGATCATTAACCGTACTTCAACGTTTCAACAGCGGAGCGCGACATTCGCCAAAGCCTTACTGTAATTGTGCCAATGATTCATTGATTCAAACGCAAGACCACTTCATCCGTCTCGGCGCTTTCGTGCTTTCCAGGTGCTCATAAGACGCATCTACTCGACTACATAAATTCGATAGGACGCGCAGAACGCGCGATTGGAGACGTTAACATTTCTGCCTTCGATGAGGAAAATCCTGTGGGGGGGCGGCATCTAAGTCGAGCTGATCGTAACATCACGCAGACTTACACGCAGATCCTCCACTGCAAGATAGTGCGCCTGACAAGGCGCTTGAGCCTTGACGCTCTCGGTCGAAAACTAAAGTCGAGGCAAGTACGGGAATAGGCTGGTGTAAGCCGTTGCTTACTACATCTCCCAATATGTACATATATACTGCACGGTGGCTGAGAATACAGCTTCTCAGTTACACTGCCTTTTGGCGTAACTGTCCTGACGTGCAGCAGGGCATGCTTACATTAACTGAGAAGCTACGGCTGCCGGTTCAATCCAGGCTCATGGCAAAAATTGCACCGGGCCTAAACCTGGGTTGTTCCTGTAGTTGCAGGGGGTCGTGCCCTTGGGGTGGTGTATATGCTCTCCCACTGGATGCCCAGGGGCTCCTTGACTAAAGGGATTGGGACCTAAGTCTTACGGAGGGGATAAAGCTCCAGAGCCTGGGAGGGTGTAAGCCGTTGCTTACTACATCTCCCAATATGTACATATATACTGCACGGTGGCTGAGAATACAGCTTCTCAGTTACACTGCCTTTTGGCGTAACTGTCCTGACGTGCAGCAGGGCATGCTTACAAGGCTATATGCTACTAGTAACCAACATTTGTACTACTGTAATACGTGTGGTCAGTTCATCAGATACCTAGATGAAAGTTTCTCTGCAATCGAAGCATGTCATTACTGTACAGCGGTTTCCAGCATGAACACACATTAGGGGGCTGAGAGCGCTGAGATCTGAGCGCTGTGCGCTGAGATTTAATATTGCCATGCCAAATTTTGTTCTCACACAAATTATTACTGTAACGATTTTATAACACCGAATTTTGCAAGATAACCAATACCTTGAAAATTATTTTCGACTTAACTATGAACTCTGCTCCTAAATTTTGCAATTCCGCTGGGACTACAGTACCCGCCAATCGGTTGTGGAAACCGCTGTAATTTCGGAGCGGGAGTGGCCCCACTTGTTCAGTCGTTTGAACTCTGAACTACAACCGTTCTACGGACGAAAGCGGACCGCGCAACCCGTCAGCTGTGCTTCTGGCTGACGACCATCAAGGTCAACATCGTTCTGGCTGCGGCTTCACCATATGGTGGGGTGAGCAGCGAGCGCCTCGTGGTGAAAACAACACCCCGGCAGTGCATTTCCTTCGAATGTTGCGGCAGTCTGTGGCACTGTGCCTCTCCAATGGCATAACCCAGAAATCGCAAAATCGCATTCCCAATGGCTGGGAAAACGGTCTATGAGCCCCGAACCTTGCCCCGAACATTCAAGTCAGGGTGAATTCTAAAATTCGAACCAGAGTACCAACTTGATCCGGCTTTCACGGGACCGCGGCAACATACAATAGCGGCGTGAGCACTAGATTCCCCTCTGGGTGTTCGGAGGGCCATAGGGGCCTGGTGGGACAAGATGGCTGTCCCGTCTGGTTCTCGCGTCCTTAGAGCGCAGCCGAGGATCCCAACTACCACCACAAAGTCGTCGAGATATGCAATTCAAGTCGTCAGCCTTCAAGAAAGTCTTTCCTGGGGCTCTTCCTGTTAAGGTCGACCAACCACATCGTGAGCGTTGTATTTCTCTCACTTGACGTCCTCCAACTGGCTCTTTAATTGGCCCTAAGCAGTTCAGCCGGTTGCATCTCAGCCTGCTGCAGCTGCCGATCTCTGCCCTGCCTTATCACATCCAGTCGGAGAAGCGGAAGACACTGTGAGCGCGATCGAAGCCTCTATGGCGGCTCTGAGTGTGGCCGAGAAGGTCCCATTCATCTCCCCTGTGGCTAGGCTCCTCCTTCTAGCGCTCGCCATGCGTGGTGTAAGTGTCGGATTAACCACACAAGGATCTTTATCTTACCGCTACATTATTGTAACAGGAAGTAAAGCGGTACAAGCAGGAGTGGGATGTAGTCATGATTAAAGTCGAGCAAGTCGCTGACCTGGTGATAACATTGGAACGCTTTGCGAGAAATATAACCTGGAAGAGAAAGATCTTCCGGTTGGTCTATCTGGGATCTTTCAAGCCCTTACTACGTATGCTATACATTCTTCATATTCCTAACTGCGGCTTATTGTACTTCAGTGAACTCGATGGAATCAAGACTGCGCTTACACAGTGCAAGGAAATCGGAAGGGTCAAACAGGTCCTTTCGCGCAGGGACTTGCTGCTGAAGGTCAAGCATTACGATAGCATGCTCTCGAATGTGCTTCAAAGGTTGCAGGTTTGTCGTCGGCTCACTATCCCCGGTCACTCTTCTAACTCGTCGCCTGCAGCTCACGCTGACTTTAGACGCACGTTTCGCGCAACTCGCTTATCAGAAAGAACAGAGGGTACGCATCTTGCCAATGTCAAATCGTTACGATAAATTGACGTCTTCGACAGGCCAATCGAAGTACTCCACCTGTTCTAGTCGTGTTGGCGTCTAGAACCTTTAGGGCGGCATGCCGTACCTTTGTAAGGTGGACCGATCGGTTGCGCTTGCATAGACCGTGACAGTACCCCTACCCATTAGTCTGAGCTGTCCGGGGTGTCCAAACCTTCGATCTCCCTTCCGACGTCAAGGATCTCTTTGGACCCGGACTGCGTGGCAGGATTGAGCGATCAGTCTCCCTGACACAACATCTCTCGTACAATTCACTTCCCCTTTATTATACCTATGATAGCATAGCTACTGGTGTCGAGATCAAGGGCCATTCACAGACCCTCATACATTCACCAACAATGCTTTCCTTAGCTACATTCACGATGTCACACACTGACCTTCAAGTTGAAAGAGAGAGGATCATAAAAGTTGATAAGACGCTTGACTCGGAATGCTCTCAGTCGGAAACAAATACCAAGGCAACTGCGAGGAGTGAGGCATACTAGTCGACATTTCATTCATACGCGTGGTCGGCCTTCATGAGATACCTGGATGATACAAGGTTCTGCAAACCAGACAAGCTTAGGGCCCGATTCGGGTGTTCGGAAGGCCAATCGGGAAGTGCCGATGTGGGACAAGGATTGCTTGAACTGGGAAGATGACGCGTCCTAGGATCCCTACTACAACCGCAACCACAAAGTTGTCGAGATATGCAATCCGAGTCCTCAACCTTCAAAAAAGTCTTTCGCAGGGTCCTTCCTGCTAGGATAAACCAACCACAATGTAACTGTATTTCTCCCACTTGACGTCCTCCATCTGGCTCATCAATCGGCCTACGCAGCTGCCCTTCTCAACCCTGCCTCATCACAGCCAATCGGAGGAGCAGGAGACACTGCGATGGGCGCGATCGAGGCATCTTTGGCGGCTCTGAGTGCGGCAAGTGCCTTGGCTGCGAAGGTCCCATTCATCTCCCCCGTGGCTGGCCTCCTCCTACAAGCGCTCACTATGCGAAATGTAAGTGTCGGTCGGAGTAATCTTACAAGGACTTTATCTTACCGCTATGTTAACAGGAAGTAAAGCAGCACAAGGAAGAGTGGGATATAGTCATGGTCAAACTTGAGCAAGTCGCTGACATAGTGGACACCGTCGGAACGCTTTGCGAGAAACATAACTTGGAAGAGAAAGATCTCCCTCTGGCCTGCATGGGATCTTTCAGTCCCTTAAGACGTATGCTATACATTCTTAATATTCCTAACTGTGGCTCATTGTACGTACTTCAGTGAACTGGATGGAATCAAGAGCGCGCTCAAACAGAGCAAGGAAATCGGAAGTTTCAAACAGGTCCTTTTGCGCAAGGACTTGCTGCTGAAGGTCAAGCAGTACGATGGCATGCTTTCGAATGTACTTCAGAGGTTCCAGGTTTGTCATCGGTTCACGGTCCCTGGTCACTGTTGTAACTCGTCGCCTGCAGGTCACGCTAGCTTTGGACGCGCGTTTCGCGCAAATTGCTGATCAGAAAGGACATAAGGTACGCATCTTGCCAATATCGAATGATATCAATCGATTGACACCTTCGACAGGTTACTCAAGGTGCTCCACCTGGTCTTTCGGGCTCCTCTGGTATCGCCATGTAGGTGTCTAGAACGTTTGCGTTTGACTGTACACTGATATCACCCAGATTAATGCCCCGGGGACCGCGTTCACCTCAAATATTTTTTGGGCGCGATTCCGAGCTCTCGGAGATCATTCACATGATTTTCACTCATGTGAACTCTCGTCCTGCTCGTATTGCAATCCTCGGGCCTGGGGGTTATGGCAAGACCACCCTCGCGAACGCGGTGCTCACCCATCAACGTGTCCGAGAACACTTTGGGGATGCTAGATATTTTGTCGCCTGCGAATCGGTCTTCTCAGCTGGCGCTCTCTTGATCGAGCTTGCGAAAACACTCGGTCTCTGGACACGGCCGCAGATGCCTCTTGGTCTCGTATATGTTCTGTGTTGGACGCAAAGGACTGCATCGTTTGTCTTGATAACTTCGAGTCGCTGTGGGACCAGGACGGGGACATGAGATACGCTGTTGAAGAGCTGCTATCCAGAATTGCTGAGCT